GTGTGAGGTGGTGCCTTAGGGTTGTCCTAATTTGCACTTCCCTGATTAATGATGTGGGATCTTTTCAGTGGCTTATGGTCTGTTTGTATGTCCTTTTTTTTTTTTTTTTTGAGATGGAGTCTCGCTGTGTCGCCCAGGCGGGAGTGCAGTGGTGCAACCTTGGCTCACTGAAACCTCCGCCTCCCAGGCTCAAGCAGTTCTCCTGCCTCAAGCCTCTCAAGTAGCTGGGATTACAGGCGTGCACCACCACACCTGGCTAATTTTTATTTAGTAGAGACAGGGTTTCTCCATGTTGACCAAGCTGGTCTCAAACTCCTGACCTCAGGTGATCCACCCGCCTTGGCCTCCCAGAGTGCTGGGATGACGGGCCTCTTTGCCCATTTTTAAACTGGGTTTATTGTAGGGCTGTGGTTCTTTATATATGCTGGATATGAATCCCTTACGTGTATGATTTGCCAGTGTTTGTTTTCTCCCATTCCGTGGGTCTTTTCACTCCCTTGATGGTTTTTTGTTTTGTTTTGTTTTTTCCATACAGAGTCTAAGTCTGTAGCCCAGGCTGGAGTGCAGTAGCACAGTCTCAGCTCATGGCAACCTCTCCACCTCCCAGGCTCAAGCAATTCTCCTAGGTCAGCCTCCTGAGTAGCTGGGACTACAGGCGTTTGGCATCACGCTCGGCTAATTTTTTGTATTTTATTAGAGACCAGGTTTCACTATGTTGGCAAGGATAGTCTCAATCTCCTGACCTCGTGATCCGCCTGCCTTGGCCTCCCAGAGCGCTGGGATTACAGGCGTGAGCCACCGTGCCCTGCCTCTACGCCGGTCTTTATGCTAGTATCACACAGTTTTGATCATGACCGCTTTGAAGTAATTTTTGGAATCAGTAAGTGTGAGTCTTTCAACTCTGTTCTTTTTCAAGACCGTTCGATGATTTGGGGGTCCTCTGAGACTCCCTATGAACTTTAGGATGTGTTTTTCTATTTCTGCAAAAAATGTCATTGGGATTTGGATGGTGTTGCATTGAATCTGCACATCACTATGCGTGGTAGTCATCTTAAAAATATTAAATCCATCAGGGCGGGCGTGGGGGCTCACGCCTGTAATCCCAGCACTTTAGGAGGCTGAGGCAGGTGGATCACCTGAGGTCAGGAGTTCAAGACCAGCCTGGCCAACATGGAGAAACCCTGTCTGTACAAAAATACAAAAATTAGCCAGCCATGGTGGTGGGCATCTGTAATCCTAGCTACTGGGGAGGTTGAGGCGGGAAAACTGGTTAAACCCAGAGGTGGAGGTTGCAGAGAGCCGAGATCGTCCCATTTCTCTCCAGCCTGGTGACAAGACTAGACTCCATCTCAAAATAAATAAATAAATAAATAAATAAATAAATAAATAAAGGGTACGGATGTCTCCTGTCAGCCTTATGTAGTGGGTGGCAACGTTTGTACATGGATAATTGTGGTGTCTTGGCACATGGACCCTTGTGTCAATATATAACGTATTTGTCTCTTGTAGTTTCAGCCACTCCAGCTCTCTTTTGGCTGTTTACATGAATACTTTTCCATACCTTCACTTTCAACCTGTTTATGTCTTTAAAAGTTAGTCTTTCAGGCGGGGCGCAGTGGCTCACGCCTGTAATCCCACCACTTGGGAGGCCAAGGTGGACGGATCTGGAGGTCCAGAGTTCAGACCAGCCTGGCCAACATAGTGAAACCCCATCTTTGCTGAAAATACAAAAATTAGCCGGGTGTGGTGGTGCGTGCCTGGGATCCCAGCTACTCCGGAGGCTGAGGCAGGGGAATCACTTGAACTCAGGAGGCAGAGGTTGCAATGAGCCGAGATCGTGCCATTGCACTTTAGCTTGGGTTACAGAATGAGACTGTGTCTCAAAAAGAAAAAAAAAACCTGATGCCTGATGAGGTGAGGTGGAACAGTTTCATCCCAAAACCACCCATCCCCACCCCCGGCTGATAGAAAAACTGCCTTCCATGAAACCAGTCCCTGCTGCCAAAAATACTGGGGACCACTGGTTTAAGTTCTGTAGATATACAGACCACAGCTGGAAAGGTGGCTGGCATTTGGTTTAAGTTCTGTAGATGTACAGACCACAGCTGGAAAGGTGGCTGGCATTT